AGTCTGCGGGGTGGCCCGTAGCATTCATCGGTCCCTATTCAACAGTGGGAATGTGACAGATTTGTGATTCACTCACAGTATGATCGGAGTTGGGAAACGGTAGGTCGTTGGAGACCAGGCGTGATGTAGGACTACAGTGGTTCTGGCAGCATTCATTTTTCGTATTAGATTCAATGGCAACAGGTAGTCGGACGGTCATGATCGGGAAGATCAGAAGGAATAATGGTGTCATTAGTGGCAATATGGTTAGGGCAGATTTCGATAGCCGAAGTTCTCTTCGGAAGTCACGTGGGGTGACTGTGAGGTTGCTCTTGGCTCAGCAACGGACATGAATTCAGTATTTCAGATAAGTTGGGGACCAGGGAGGTCTCGGTTGCCTTTAGAAAGCAGATAGGAGGCAATGTGATGCTTCGGACAGTAGTAGTGATTTGGGGATTCGTGTGTGTGGGGTAGTTTGATGATCGAAAGTGCTAAGTCACTTACAGTGGGATTAAACAAGGTTGTAAAAATCGCTCGACGGTAGCTCGACGGTCGACTGGTGTTAAGGGATTAATCGGTCTTGGGGGGGATTAATCGGGGATCATAGATTATTAATAAAATATTAAAATTAATTAAATATTAATATATCTTAAGAAAAACAAGTACTTCAAAATTAGAAAATAAGAAAAATTGTAATTTGGAAATTTGAAAATACGAAAATATGAACATTTTGGTATAATATTCGAAATTTTGAAATTTTGAAATTTTTGGAGTAAAAAAAAAGTTGGTTTTTTGAATTTTTTTTGAATTTGTTTTGACATTTTTTGACATTTTTCGACTTTTTTGACTTTTGTTGACTTTTGTTGATGATTAATCCCGCCAAGGCCGATTAATCCCGCCAAACCCGATTAATCCTAAATATCCGATTAATGCCCTAATCCTCGACGGTTGAAGAACGTCAAACGATTAATCCACGATTAATCGCCGATTAATCCCGATTTCTGCAACCATGGGATTAAATAATCTCAGAGTAATTGATTTGACCTTGTTGCGCAACTCTCGTTTGATTCTAACCATTGTAGGGATGAGTCTCCTACTCGAAGGATTATATGAGCCTACTGTCAAGTATAATGGTTCTGAATGGATTCAACATTAATGATTTTATATGGGCGGTCTGTCAGGGAGTCAGACCATCTCGAGACTTCAGATTTCAGGTTGAGTAAATGAGATTGTTGCAAGGAATTCGTTTATCTGTGGATTTTAGGGCCTTGCGAAGGTTGGTCATGGTTACCCTATGAAGGCTAGGGTGTGCTTAGGATTGTGGCCATGTTACTTGAGTGGTTTGGCGTGTAAGGAATGGTAAGGAATGATTTCGAGGACGAAATCTAATTGAAGTGGGGGTGAGTTGTAACACCCTGTTTATTAAATAAATAATTAGACAAAATTAATGAATAAATAGTAGCCCCAAAATTAATAATTATATAGCAAGGTGTTGATTTCGAGGAGTTAACTGTCATAGTTTAGAAGTTGGGGGTTAAAAATGTAAGTTCCGGATTGGTTTTGTAAATATTTGTGAAGGCAGGGACTACTTGGTAAATTATTGGGACTTAATTTAAAGAGATTTTGGAGGCTAAAGGGCTGAATGGTAACATATGGACTTCATTTGAGAATAATTTGTAGATGAGGGGCTGTTTGGTAACTGTTGGACTTATTATGAAAGGATTTTCGGAGGCAGGGGCTAAAGGGAAACTTCTGGATTTAAATTGAAAAGGATTTTATGGGGAGGGACCAAAGTTGGAAAAAAAAGAAATGAAGTTTGATGGAATACGGGACTTGAACCCGGTGGTCATTCCTCCCGTCTTAAGGATCAACACCTTAAACCCTAACCCTACTTGTCTCTCCAGCCGCCACCCTCACCTCTAATATTTCTGGCGCCGCCAACTCCACCATTGTTGCCACCGCTGAGCACCACAACTGTCCTTCCGACGAAAGTGAGTCGCCAACTTGATAGTCGGGAGCGTCTGTTGCTACCACACTTCCATCCTTTTTCTTCTTCTCTTTTTCTATCGTCGTTCACAGCCGCACTCGGCCGTTGCCGGTGCCGTTCCGACCACCGCCGCTTCGAAGCTCGTCCCACAACAGCTAGCCGTCGCCACCACCGCTCGTACTACCTACACTTCGATTATTCGGTCGAGATTCACCACCGAGAGGAGGGACCAGTAGCGGGGTATGTTCACGTGAAGGTGTGTCGTGGTGATCCTTGGTTATGCGTGTGTGTGTGCTCATTGGCCGGAAAGCTTGGAAAACCACCATGGCTGCCGCCGCCTTTTCTCTTTTTGTCGCCACCATCCACCATGAAGGGTGGTTGTGTGTGTGTGTTTTGTGTGTGTGGGAGTGTATTTTATGGGTTTTATTGGGTTACGATGTGTATGTATAATTTTTTGCCGGATAAACTCGTCACCACCACCGTGAGGTGGTGGCTGCCACCTCACACCGCCATTCTGCCGCCACCTTGGGTGGCTGTGTGCGCTTGGTTGTGAATTGGACTGTTATTCGGGATATTTTTATACGTTTAGGCCTAACATCATAATCACCACCACCGTGAGGTGGTGGCTACCGCCGCGAGCCGCAGCCGACCATGCCCGAGGTGGCAATGGGTGGTGTCCGACCTAATGGAACCTTAATTGACCTAATGAAACTCTAATTAGTTTAAAAATCTAATTTGGAACTTTTTTGGTGTGTATTTGGGTTAGAAGCCCTAATTAGGGTTTAGAAAAACCTAATTGTGAATATGTTAGTTTGGAATTATCGGGACCCACGTTTTGGACCATTGGAGTGAAGTTATGACTCAAGCCTGATTACATTTTATGTTCGGACTAGTGGAGTGGTGAACTTAATGGATTAAGTCCTTAATGGTTTAAGTAGGAACACTTAACCCTAATCGTCATTTTATGTGAAAAACCATAACTGGGTTTGGGTTCTTGTTGGGCCATTTCTTGGACTGGGTTGCTGTGGGCCTTGATGGGCCATCCAAGCACAAGTTTATGGACAAAGGAATTTATTGGGCTTTAGGATAAGGCCCATTGAAAAGGATAGGGCCCAATTTGGAAAATTTGGCCATAGGTGGGCTATAATTAGGCCTTAATGATTATGAGATATTGGACCATCGATATGCTAAGTGTATGGACTAGGATTTTGAATGGGCTTTAGGGTAAGGACCATGTGAGGGGGTTTGGGCCGAATTTGGAAAATTGGGCCATAAATGGGCCTTGGTTGATTATTTGGCTTTCGGGCCTTTAAGTGTGAGTTTGGGCCTTGGTCTTGGACCAAGCTAGGTTAGGGGTAAAATGGTCCTTTTACCCTAATTGTGTACTTATGGTTATGTATTTGAACCCAATTATTAATTGGGTGTTGTTTTGATGATTGACAATTTGGGGATCTGTCAGCCAGTAGCCAGGGATTTATTGGCGGGACTTCAGCAGTGCGAGGTGAGCCTCCTTACTGTTTGTATGGGTCTAAGGAACCAATGTCGGCCCATTTAGTTTATGTATGGTAGGAAGACCCAGGGGTTTGCCCTAGGCATTATGTATGAAAGACCAGGAGGCGACTCCTGGCACACTGTATGCTATTATGTATGGTAGGAAGACCCGGGGGTTAGCCCTAGACAATATGTATGAAAGACCTGGAGGTGGCTCCTGACACACTGTATGCTGATTAGCTAAGTAGAACATTATGTATGCTAGTTTTCTTTGTGATCCTTGTATGGAAGACCAAGAGGTGGCTCTTGGCACTTGTTTGTAAGACCGAAGGGGGTGGCCCCGGCTTGGTAGGAAAGACCACGTGGGGGCCCGTGGCATAATGGCAAGACTATGTTTTGGCACATAGCAATTTATTTTATTATGATATATGATTGTTTTGTATGGATCACAGTTATGTATGGTAGTATCCGGTTGAAAGAGACCAAATTGGTAGGCCAACACCCAGATATGATAGACAACATGTTGATATGTATGATATGTGGTATTTGGGGAACTCACTAAGCTTCGTGCTTACGGTTTTCAGTTTTGATTTCAGGTACTTTGTTTTCAAAGGAAAGGAACCGGCGATCGTAACGCATCACACTATGTTTTCTGCACATGAGATAATTGGGATTACACTCTGATATTGTTTTATGATAACATGTTTTGATTATTGACACTTCGATTGGTATGTTATTATGGATATTTTTATATTGTTGGTTTTATGAATTATCAAACTAAAAACGAAATTTTTGGTCTCGGATTTTGGGATGTTACATTTTTACATGGTCTGCAGCTGGACGTCAAGCGTTGGCTGCATATCCTGCGTCCGATGACATGCGACCGAGCTATAGATTTAGCTCGCCACGTCGCCACCATTACGTCATTTTCCACCGATCAATTAGGTCAAAAAGCAAACGCGACTGGTTCAAACGGTAAATGGGGGTCTGATTTCAATAATTCCTGGCAACCTAGCCCAACAATGAAGTCCACTGATAAGCCCACCTCACAAACAATTGCCCAAAACTGACCTAGATTCCATCCGGATCAGACTCCAATTAAGACGTTTGATACGAACAAACCTTCAATCCAACTTCATCCATCAGTGGATGGAAATGAGGATTCTGATTCAAAGTATAATTCCTCTTATCTTGTAACAATTCTGACACCCAACTCTGAATTGGCGCTCAAAGTGTATCACCCTTATTTTATAAACAAAGGCTTGTGTCTCACCCCTGATTCAAGATGAGAATTGATTGTACCTGCAATCTCTTTGCCATCTATTTATAACTCGGTCTACTTTGATAAGCCCAGGTGTAAGATGAAACTACTCTTCTCTATTGAGATTGGTACATCGGTGCTTGTCAGTGAAGTTAAATCAACGTCAGATATCTCCATGCAAGTTAAGAAAAATCTACTCGCACCTCTTGATGATATAATTCTGGAATAAGAAAACCTAGCCTATCTTTTGATGAGAGTGAATACAATTTCAAAGTTAATTCCATGGTCGTAGGAGTTAATGATCCATCTAAGGGGCTAATAGGAGGATTAACAAACGAGTCCATGTATAACTTCGGAATCCGACTGGAAAAAAGGATAGAGTTAGTTGGTTACCCATACAGAGGTTTGTATGCTTTAGGGGAATTAATACCTCCTCAACCTCAAGATCACAATGTTATTTTGGTTCCCTGTTCCACTGTTGAATTGAATTGTCTAGTGGTTGATGTTTATTGGTGTTATATCTTAGTAGAATCAACTAGCCAGACCAAAATGCCAAGCCTCCTTGTGAAGAAAATGAGTATCCATGAGTTGATAACTTCATCCGAGCACCAGAAATTAGGTTCCATCATTGCTGGAGAGATGACATTGTCTGATGCAAAACCATATATCATGAAGTTTAATGAGCATCAAATAACTCTATTCTTATGTGCGTTCTAGATTCAAGCCAGCCTTACTGTTAAAAGTTTTCCAAATATTGAAGCTTTAGTTTATCCATTCGATGACACAGGGTGGAGAAAGCCTATATGCATGGGAAGACACGCATTTGGTGATCAGAACAAAGCTACTGATGTAATGATTAAAGAATATGGAAAATCGAAGTTGGTGTTTATTCTTGGAGGAGAAGGTGAAGAGATAAACTTGGAGGTTTACAATTTTACGGGTGTTAGAGCTTTGTTAATGTACAACACTGATGAGTCCATTGTTACTTTTGTTGAAGCTTCAAGGAACATAACTTATCAGAAAAAATGGCCATTTTATCTTAGCACCAAGAATACCATCCTCAAGAAATATGATGAAAGATTTAAAGACATATTTCAAGAGGTCTATGAAAGAAACAGGAAGTCAAAGTTTGAGGCTGCTTATGTATGGTATGAACATAATCTTATCGATGACATGGTTGCTTATGCTCTTAAGAGTGATGAATGGTATGTCTGGGAATGCAAAAATTATGATGGTGATGTTCAAATCGATTTCCTAGCTCAAGGATTCAGATCTCATGAATTGACGACATCAGTTTGGGTGTGTCTAAATGGAAAGACCATTGAAGTTAAAGCAACCTATGCACCTGTGACACGTCATTACAGAGTGCACCGAAAGGGAGGTAAAACCAGCACAATCAGCATAACCTCAATTTGTGTATGGACCTGTGTGCTGACCCACATGACAAAATTGGATAACAATTCTAAGCTTCTTGATTTTAATGAGAAATTTGAGGCAGCATGCATCGACACTTTTGAATTTGGAAAGATGATAAAGGACTTGCAACTCTCATGATTTGGACTGTTTTACAAACTCTAGTCTTTAGGAAAAGCCTCTACTTCAAGACGGTTGTATTAATAGAGAATGTGATAAAGAATGGATCTTCTTTGAAAACAAGGGAAAAGTGGAGGGACTGAATTGTAATATTGTTTATTTTATGTTTTGCTCCTATCTAGAAACATCCCTACGTAGTATAAATAAGTGTAGTCTTAAGAGTATTGAATCATTCAGTATTTTGTAGCTCTGAGTATCGAATTTAGCTTGGGAGGAGGTTTCTCTTGAGAGAACTTTTCTGATTAGGGCCGGAGGACAATCATTTGGATTTCCTTTCTGATTTGTTCTTATTTCAATTTTAGTAATCAAATAGCTTCCTAGATCTATATATCTCATATTTTATTTCATTTATCTGTTATTGGATTTTGGTTTCTATAAGTAGGTTTCCTAGCAACAAAGTGAGCTTCTAACCTCTCTCCCATTCTCTTTGTTAAAAATCCAACGGTCTGCCGGTAGTTGTTTTAGACGACAATAAGGCAAAGTAGGTAGTGAAAGAGGTGGTGCTCAAAACTGGTTACCCCCTCTCAAGCTTCTTAAAACCGATGATGCACCTCCCTGTAGGATAGAGTTTGGCCCATTAGGTAAAGGGTTGCATCCTTTATCATCCCACTAGACAAAAGCATTTTTTCATACCTTTACACTTTAGAGCTTTAACTTTTAAATTTGACAGGATTGGTCCCTTTGGTTAAAAGCCTCTACAATATAAGTCTATAATTTATATCTTATTTGTCCTTCATTAGGTTAAACTTATTAT